TATTTTATAAGTTTCGAAAGAATTGCATAGTTATGATTATGAAATATTTAATTAATAATAAAACGTAAACCAACAAAAAAAAAAATGAAATTGTACAAAAGCTTTGAGCTCCCAGTTATCAGATGTCTCCAGGAACCATCGGCTGCAGTTACCTGAAGTACCTCTAGTGGTTAACATTCTAATTAATCACATTGGATGCTGTTAACGGGTCACACTCATTGCACACAATTAGTAAAAATAATTATTAACAAATTACAATAGAAATTGTCAGTTCGTGCCTACCAGGTTGAAAATTTCGCTCAAAGAAATCTGAAGAGTATTAACAGTCGATGCCACGCATATACGGTGATTTCCCGTCATAAGCACATTTAATATCTTCTGACTACAAACAAGCAGCCAATAGAACATCGATGTACAGTTAAACCCTTGCCCCTAGTTGTGGATCACACCATCACCCATGACACTTCTAATTAGTATATAAGCTCATACATTTTCTGTCTCATCAGCATCCTACTTTATAAGTCTAACCTATGTCAGTTTGTTCACTTGTCATCAGTAGTGTGTGATACTTAAAATATAAAGTGTAATAAGGGTTTCCGTAAAAACCGAACCTAACAAATTTGTTAAGATAGTGAGATCCTACAAAATATATGTCTATTTATTCAAATGGACCTTGTTGAGCATATTGAATTCCACTCAAAGTAGCATGGTACTATAGATGGCGTTTACCGCGCCATTTGTAGGATTTCATAAAATATACTGTGTTAAGGCAGCAAGTAGAGTTGGTATGTGTTCTGGCCAACCCTACAGTTCTTAACAAATTTAGTTCAGACAACCTTTCTATCCTAATCGAAATCGGCCGCCCAATTTACAACCCCCCAAAGCTAACATCTTCGTTAGATTGGCTTGAGACATCTTCTTTTAAGTGCACTCAAATTCGCACAATATAGAAACTCGATGAAGCTGTAAATCTCCTCTCAAACGAGATCATCAGCGCCGTCGAGCGGACCACGACTACCCGCCCCTCCACCGCCCCAGTCAATACTCACCCCGCAGACATTCTTGACCGCCTTAAGAGGAAAAATAAAGCCCGACGTCTGTGGAATAGACAGCGCGTCCACGCACACCGTGCTGAAGTAAACGCCCTTCAACGAGAACTAAAAAATCGCCTCCTCGAATTCCGCAGCACATCCTTCGATGATTATATCGCTCAGGCAGAAACAAACCCCCGAAGCACTTGAAAAGTGATCCGTTTTCTTCGCCACTAAAACAGAACGGTTACATCTATTCTTCAGACGAAGAAACAGCCGCAATCATCAATCAATCAATTATGTCTCCAGTGCTCTCCACTACCTAGTCCAGTGGACTTTGCCGACTTTCACGAGCGTATTAAAGCCGTCTCCCTGAACTTCGTCCCCCTTGAATCCGACTTTAGACATACTACATCCCATAAAATCTCCCTTACTATCTGTTCTCTGAAAAAGACGGAATTTACAACGGAGTACCCAAAGTCCTGCCGCCAAAGCACATAACCGCATTGTGCAACATCACAAACGCCATCATGCGGCTCCACCATCACTTCCCTTTGGTATGGAAAGAAGCTACTGTCATCGGTCTCCTCAAAAAAGGGAAGCCCCTTAGCTCTCCCTCAAGCTACAGGTCCATCAGCCTGCTCAGCTCGTTGAGCGAAGTAGTTGAATTAATCCTTCTCGATCGGCGCTTCGACCACGTGGTGCAAAACAACCCTCTCCCCGATCATCAGCACGACTCCCGTAGGCATCACGGCACCGGCTATCAACTTTTTCGCGTATCCGAATACATTTCCGACAACCTTAACAAGCGGCGTCTAACCTTCATACTTCTTCTTGACGTCCAACAAGCGTTCGACAGAGTCTGGCACGAAGGACAAAAAGTTTTCTCAAAACTCATCGCCCTTAACATTCCGCATTTTCTAGTTGGGGTTATCAGGTCCTTTCTCACAGACAGAATCCTTTGGGTCCGCGTTGGCTTTGTTCTCTCTGCCAGTAAACCCGTCACAGCCGGTGCCCCACAAGGCTGCAAACTATCGCCTATTCTGTATAACCCGTTCTGTGCGGATATGCTCTCCGACACTTCTATTTTGATAGCTCCCCCTCCCCAATACCCCCCACGCTTAACCATTTTTCCTTCTCAACCGTCTCCCTAATCCCAACCTTTCATTCTCTTCCCGGGGATGAGTAACCCTCAGGGTTTATCTCCCCAATCGAGGAGGGGTTATAGTCGATAAAAATCCGACACTACCTCCTTTCAGGAGGTGTCTTTTGAAAATTTCCAATCATCGAGAATCTAATCTAAACAAAAAGAAAGGTTTGTGCTCTGTCGTAACTGTCTGCGACGCGCTAATGAAATCCAACAAGATCGAAATCGCGATCCGCGTCTGGCAATTTCGACAGAATACTGACCACTTCAAATTTCTTTGTTCGAACTACCTTTCTAACTATACAAGTCTGAACAGATCTGTATCGCCAGTAGTTAGGTTAGGTTAGGCTATTCAATTTTTTAGGTTTTTCTCTTACTTCATTTGTCGTTCTGAGGAATATTTTCCATTAATAGAAATATGATGTATGCCACACCAAGAAAGGCATTTACTAAAAAATAACACTTTACGTTTGAAATACTTATAGAATATCTGATTTAATTTCTATAAATTATGTTGTTTCTTAGACATGTCTCATTGATCTGTCAAAATTTAAGTTAATAATAATAATAAAGAAGCTTCTAATAAGTGGTTAAAAAAAGAAATATATTCATGATAGCGATTCAGGACAAAATAATAAAAACAAAAGCTATGAAAAATATGTTATTAAAAATCCCACAATTTCATCGGACACATGCCGAGCATGCAACACACCTCACGCAACAATTGACCACATCTCTGAGGGTTGCTGATTTTTAGCCAGCCGACAATATATCGACAGGCATAATAATGTTGCTAAACAAATCCACTCGCTGTTAGCCAAAAAGTTTAAACTCAAGATCAGATAGAGCCGTACTACAAATGCAAACCACAAAATGTATTAAAAAAGCTTTATTGGAATAGAGACATAATTACAGACAAAACTGTAAACCATAACTGACCTGATATCACACTGACCATCAAAGAAATTAAAACAATTTACCTAATAGATGTTGCTGTACTAAACACTAAAAATCCTAAACAACAACATATTGAGAAAATTCAAAAATACATTCCTTTGGCAGATGAAATGTGGTTCCTTTCTTCAGGGACTGAAGTGAACTCAAACTCCCTGACGAAGGTAACCTTCTTACCGAAAAGTGCTTCGAATTACTACAGTGTCGTGTTTTGGCGTTGGGGTTTTGAGCTATTTTGTTTGTTCTACAACAACCGCCAAAGTTTTTCCAATATTCATAAATCGCACGGTGAGTTCAGAAGCGTCGTTAGGGGCTAGTTTTTTAAAGAAACTCAATAATTTACAATCCGATGTCGGCCCTGTACGTGAATTGGCAACACAGGTGTCTGCAGAATAGCGTAGTGCGATAAATCTGCAGCTACATGGATCTCAATTGTAAACATTCCCGATTATCGAACGTAATTATAAACAATTTAGTACTACACATAATATTTACACTAAATAAATTAAATAGGTAAATTACAGGCAGCACTACGTAATTATACGAACATAAAAGAAAGAAAAATATAAGTTACGTTAACATTAGTGGAGCATCTGGATAATTGTAACTGTCCTAAGGTAATTTTCCACATCGCTATTGATGTATTGTCAAGGCGCGTTACCTTTTTGCGGGTAATTGTAAGTAAACTTACTAAAAAATTCAAATGTCACCAAAAATTTCGNAATATGTCTCTGACTAGACCTTCATGCCTGAGAAGGTGTCCTACCAACCTATCTCGCCTATTTTTTATTGACTTGCATAGAGTCCTCTGTTCTCCTATTCTTTCCAATACCTCTTCATTTCTAACCTTTTCTACCCACGATATCCTCATCATCCGCCTATAACACCACGTAAGAAATAGAAATTATTAAGTGAAAAGAAGTGAAGTGTATATTATAGAGTAGCATTTAAAAAAAAATGGCTTAAACTATTGAATTAACTAATTACTAAACAGCAAAAAAATACAACTTTATTTCGAACGGAAGAATGCGGAATATGCTGACAATGTGTCGAAATAGCAATTTTGAAATCATTATCATTTGCTACTAACAGGTTGGCTTTCTAAGCCTGTTAAAATGACTCCTTTTGGACATATCCACCAGGGGTCACACGTGACGCGTGACGCGTGATGTAATGCTTCTCGGTTTTATATCCTAGTTAATTTCCTTCCTACCGTCTATAAAGAAGTTTCACTTCAAAAAGACAAAGGTTGCAATTTTTCAAAAAGGAAGAAGAGGAGAAAGTCTACTTAAAATCGTTAATCAGTTGATTTACTTGGAAAGCAGTTATTCATCCGCAGGGTTACTCAGTAGAGCCACTGGACGTGAACAAGCGCTGACTAAAAGTCGTGTAGCTTTAGTATCAGCATATGATTCACTAATTAAACAACAGTGCAATAACATGTATACGAAAAGAACTTATTTAATAGTATTGTCAAGCAAACGCTGCTTTATGGAACGAGTGTATTGACCTACAGGCACGTAGGTGATATGGAACACTGTTCTTCTATAAAACGCTGTTGGGTCTATCTAAAAGAACGCCGAGCTACCTTGTTTGATTTGAAGTTGGGCGTTGCAAAGTGAAGGTGGAAGTTGGTTTATTGGCGGAAGATTTTGAGAACGTCATACGACAGGTTTCCAAGGGTGGTCAAACAAGCATCACAGATACACTTGGATGATATGCTGGTAAAGTATGGCTTTAGTTTTTGTTTTAAACATATAATGTACTGTATTTTAGTTGCAGTTTATTTTTTAGAAATTGGAATACTTTACTCTAGTCGCTCACACTTTTTTAAAAAAGTCACTTTCAGTATTTTTTTTCTCTGTTACTTAGGGTTGTACTATAACTTTTATTATAAATTACAGTTAATTTTAAAATATCACGGATCATTATCAAGTATTGTCTGCCTCGAATCTCCAATCCGATTGTTTGAGGGTCTATAACCATTCATCGGAAGCGCAGCCCGTGTTTCACTTTTGGCGAGGCGTCTGTCTCTCCTTCTGTTCCCTGTCTAGGAGCTGTTCCTTGTGCTCGTCTCCGGTCTGCTCCTTGTTTAAATACCGATCCAAGCAAAGCTGTACCTTGTTCCGGTCCACTTTCTGGTTCTTGTTTAAATACTGACCCAAGCAATGCTTTGCCACGCTCAGCGGTACGCCCACGAGTAGGCCTAGAGCTACCTTCTTGACCGCGTTCAGCGCCACGATCTGGAGCAGAAGCAGCTCCACGATCTGGGACAGGAGCAGCTCCACGAGCAGGGACAGAAGCAGCGCCACGATCTGAGACAGAAGCAGGGCCACGTTCATAGTCACGCCCCTCAGCCTCTGTTTTCTTTATATCCCGTACCATAGAAAAGGTTAAACAAAATGCAAGAAACTGTAATAAAGCAAGATGTCTGTTAATAAATAATTAAGATACTATTAAAAACGAACGAAGCAACCTAAAATACAGTAACGTTAATGGGTTATGTCTTAATAACAAATTCACATTTATAAAGAATACCTCGCTAAATAATATTAGTACATGAAGAAAGGTGAACACCCAACTCAGGTGCAGTAGTTTGTCGAATATGATATCAACACACCCAACTTTGTATGCATCCGAGAGGGAACACGTGCGTATGGGATAACAGCAAGATTCTGGAGCTGAACTATTATTCCATATACGATGCCAGTCTGCAGCTCCTCTAACACCACAACATTTGTACTAAAATTGAAAGACAGTCATGTATTACTCGCCCGCTTAAGAAATACCATACACCATGTATTTCAGAAATTTCTGATTTCTTTAATATTTTTAAAAATTTTCTGTTTTATAAAATTATAATTTTACAGGATTAATTTATATATATAGTTTTCTCTTGTTGTTTAAGCCAGTACGTACTTTGATTTTATAAATTTCAAGCGCAATTATTAAGGAATACAAGATATTTGGTTATGCCTTATACCCTAGACAACAATTTTCGGTCTCTCAGAGTCTTTCAGTCTTTCAGCGTCTCTGAAAGCGTCTCTCACAGTCTTTCACAGTTTCTCTCAGTTATTGTTGGTTATAGGTGTTTTTATGGATCTATCATAGTCTTTGTATGAGAGACTGGAACGATAAAATTTTTAATTCAGAGATTCGAGTCTCTCACAAAGAGACTGAATGGATAAAACTGAAAAATTGAGAGACTCGAGTCTCTCATACAAAGACTGGGATCTCTGAAGTATGTTAAACTTGATGATGACTAATCTCCCCTCAGTCAGCTAAGCATAAACTTCATAATTTCAGTAAAACCTATATTAAGGAATCAGACATTTTTTTTAATAATATTACCCGAGATAAAAATGTCCAGTCTCTCAGTAATTGAAAGCGAGACTCGAGTCTCCGTCTCTCATCGAGTCTCTCTGGTGTCGCTAAGAGAGACTGTCAAAAAACTGTTTAGCGTCTCTTAACGAGAGACTCGAATCTCTGAATTAACAATTTTATCGTTCGATTCTCTCATACAGAGACTGTGAGAGATCCATAAAAACACAAGGCAATAACTGAGAGACAGTGAAAGACTGTGAGAGACGCTCTCAGAGACGCTGAAAGACTCTGAGAGACTGAAAATTTTTGTCTAGGGAACATTCAACTGATGTCCTCATATACTTAACAGGTAATTACGGTAATTGGGTACTTATAATATTTGCAATTGCTTACCTAAAATGTACAATAAATTGACATATTTTGATATAAATATTGTAATGTTCGTCGGTTTAACAAATTAACTTTTAAAAAGAAAACTATTTATTTACACTAATTATTATTGAAAGACTTAAAAACACTATTAGCTTATTACTAAACTTAGGTAATTATTCTATTTATTTACACTACTGTTACTATTCACTGTTCTATTTATTTCACTTCTATCACTGTCTTTACTTCTGCAACGATCAATTTATTTCTACTCCACTTCGGCGATCGTCTCTTCCTTTTTATACTCCCTTGTCTCCTTTCGGGAACGTTCTCCAACCGTCCAGACAAGTCTCGTTTTCTTTGAACGGTTTAATTGCTTTCCCGGAACGCAGGTACGACACACACGTTTACAGATACGGCGCACATGAAGAAAAGCGCCCGCGGCTAGTCGGCGAATCAATAAGCCGCTCACACACACGTATGCCCGATCGCACACAATCACGCTCGTGGTCGCTACAATATTAGGCGAATGATCATATTCCTTTTGATAAAATTGTGCGCTACTGGATATATTCATCAATATGTCAAAAAAAAAATTATAGAAGTTTCCATGCTATTTCGATATTTATAGCCACAAGTGGTTAACAGAATACAAGACGTGCTTCGTTTGAAGGATGCCGTAACTATAATTCCAGCTAGGCGTAAACAAAGGCGGCTCCTTCTTGGAAATTTCATTGCCTGAGCCGTCACGTAGCGTGATACGGAGTATGTGTGTTTATTATATTTGTTGGCTATTAGCTCATGAAATTAGAAGTGGAGGTGCGTGTCCAACCAATCTTAGGACTGACGATCTTATAATGATGATGACGCTACAGTGAGTGAAATAATACACTTTGTTTAGTTTCTGTAGCGATGTGACCTACAGTTTGACCGGCGCAAAGTAGAAAATAACAGCACTAGGCCAGAAAAGGAAGGAGACAATTCTCGGCCAAACTCTTAACCGGTGAGGAGCGTATAATCCGTACAGTACTGCACGGAAAAATTGACCATTTTATCCACTACAATTGCATTGCTCAAATGTGCTGTTATTGGTACCATTTACTACTGAAAATATCAACGAGATGTTTATTTATATTTGAAGACATATTAAAGGCTTTTACGCGTGTTTCCTACTCGCACTACTATTCATGATTAAACACAACTTTTGGCAGGTACTGTATGAAAAATTATGTCTAATGAACAAGAGTCGAGAGTATAAAGCGTGCATCCAAGACATTGGAAATGGCAAATTGCTAGAGAAAGTAAATGAAGTATACCAAGCGTTTGAGGGTATTAACCATATTCTATAGGGACCTAATGGTGAGTAAAGCAGAATGGTCAAAGAACAAAGAAATTATTAATAAAACTAGGAGAGGTTACGATTTGAAGCCGACACTAAGACTGAATTAGCACCATGCAGTGACATTAAAATAACAAGTAACCAATTTCATCGATGAAATATGTAAACAGTAGCGGTTGTGGAATGACCAATAAAGTAAATATCAACGGCTTACTACTACGTTACTACCTACAATTATTACTGGCCGTTGCATTGTTCGTAGTGACAGTATACACAAAGCCGGGCAAACTCGACTCTTTTGACTCCCGAGTGCTCCTCAGGTATAGCCAAGGAGCTCCTCATTGCTCCTGCGAGTGCGAGTGAGATGATTCTTTCCTTTTATCATCCCTTCCATTTCGTAGGTGAGTCCCCTCTTCCATAGCCAAACCCAATAGTTTGGAAACGAAAATTTTCGTAGGTATTATTTAAGTTGCGAGAGTGGCTTCGCTCGTCTACGGGATGAAGGGGCTTGATATGGGAGTGGAAGGGAGAAGAAAAAGAGAAAGCAATATGGGTCATTACTGCGTACTGTCTCGTATTCATTGAAGGGTATGGAGTGACTCAAACTAACCTCAGGTAGCGGCTCCTACGAAGTTAAAGTTTGCCCGGCTCTGGTATACAGTACTATTTAATGTACACCTCGACATTATTAAGAACGCGATCAATATCAATTAGAGCACCCTGTATATATAATGTCGTTGTGTAAGTATGTAAATCTTTTGTATTATATTTCTTTGTGAGCAAATATTCCTCAACATTATCTTCTAAAGCTTTTGTATTCTATCGATCTGTGCCAATAATTTTTATTACTGTACTTTTCTATAATCCCTATTAACATTTCAACTTCGAGTATTACGTTGATCTGTGTAACAAATAGATTCCTCGCAAAAATATTTGTGAATTACATTTTACAAATATTCATTCGCGATTGAGTAGAGACAAACAGATAAACAATATTGAAAGGGAAATTTTTTTGCATACACTAAACAAAGTGAAATTGATTTTAAAGCGTATGAAAAGTCTTTCAACTATTGCGCGTATGAAGGATTTCTGACTGTTTACAGTTCGTATAATTTGCCCATTAATTGGTTGAAAACTGTGAACTAAAAGTGCAAACGTCTTTTAACGGAAAAGAAATTCCATCTTTAGTGAGGAATACCAAAATCCCATTTATATCAAAGAATATAAATGAAATTGAGTCTTTGTTGACAGAAATAGATAAGCGTGATAGACAAAGTAATTACCAATACAGATACTGTTTTGCAGCAGGTTACAGTTTTAATAAAATCGATAAAATATGAAGAAAACCAGCTTGCTTTAAATTTTATATGTAAGAAATTAAAATTGCACACATCCGCTAAAGAAAGATTCCGATATTCGAATGATACTTTAGTTGTGACTTATATTTATTATTATCAATTCAATTAGTTGACATAGTTATAAATTTTTAAGAGATTCAAACTTATTGATACTGCTTCATCCTAACACAATTAAAACAATTTGCGCTTCTTTGTTAACTGATCCGACATTCGAGGAAAAACGTAAAAATATGTTTAAATTTTTAGATGCAAATGATAAGTACGTAACTGTATTTAATACATGAAATAGATAACGCATTCTTTCGAAAATAAATTAACATCTCAAAATAATACAGATCGTACTAGTGACAGTATTATAAACATAATTATAATTTTGAACTTCAGTTATTCTATCATTAATTTCTTCTTTGCTTTAAGTTTCAAGTTCTATAAATGCAGGTAATTCACATGCACTTGCACGAAACAGTGAGAATATAAATGCTACACGATTAGCTCATGGTCTCGGCTGCTCTGCCGAGCGTCTTTCCTTTTACACCTACTCCGCGGTCAGCTGTAATGCGACATGCGATAAATTGACGAAAAAACTTGAGGCGATGTAATAGAAGTTTCACTTTATAAACCTGAACTTAACGACACTGCAAGAGGGCAAAGGGTTGACTCGTTTTATGACTCTTAGAACTTTGTAGGTTAACGGGCTTTATAATAATAAATAATAAAAAACAGACTGCCTTTGTTCCGCTAAACAGCAGAGAGATAGTGTTTTCTTATTGGTTATTATTGTGCCCATCTTCCTACAAAGTTTCAATATCATAAATAGAGTCAGTTTCTTGCTCTCCTGCAGAGTGTCGATAATTTCAGGGTTTTTTTTCATGACATTATGTTATAGGCATTCTGTCAGAACTGTTTGAGAGTGTAGCATTTAATGTTATTTAATCCCTACTTAACAAGAAACAGTTTAGGAAGACATTGTGTAGTTTTCTTATACATTATATATACATATTTAAACTATGCTTAGTAGACAAAATACCTTGATATGAACTGAATCAAGCAAGTCTCGATAATCGGCAAATAAATATGCAAAAACGCTCTGCCACATATGTTGTGTCATTTCATCCTTGTAGTCTTCGCGGTTTCTAGCAACTCTTGCGAATTGATCGAATAGCATAGCTGATACCACCAGATGGATGATTACAAAGAAGAATAGAATCGCGCGGTACTGAAAAAAATTGATATTTTTAATACAATAATTATATAAAATTTTATTAAATTTA